TCACTTATAAAATAAAAAAATAAAAAAAAGAAGGCTAATCATCCAATTTAGAATGAAAGAGTCAACCATCAACACACATAGAGAAGCAATCATTCAGCTTGGTTTTGGTTTTCAGAATTCACTTTTCAGAAAATTCTACTTTTTTGTTTTCTGTATTTTTTTGTTTTCACTAATTTTTAAAAATATTTTAAGCAATTTTTTTTAATTTTTTTTAAACATACCTAACATAAATACACTTAAAAAAATATAATTTTTGTAAAAAAAATCTTTAAAAAATTCACTAAACACCAAAAATATAAAAAAAATTACGAAAATTTAGTATATTTTTCATGTTTTTGTGTATTTATTAATTTTTTGAAATATTTTTTTTTTTTACAAATATTTTACTTTTTAGATATATCTAAGGTGCATTTAGAAAAGTAAAAAATTTGTTTAAAATTTTTAAAATATTCACTAAAGATAAAAAAAATATAGAAAACAAAAAAAACTCAATTTCCTAAAAATTGAATTCAAAAAATTGAAACCAAACATACTGAATACAATCCTAACATTTCCAATGCGGATTAGTCACCTGTAACAAAATCAGTCTAACGCTTGAATTTGCTTTAAAAAACCAATTAAAAGAAATCTCAAAAGGAAAAATCACATAACCAGTAACCATGAATTAAGAGGAATTGAACATAAAAAAATTTCTAAATAACTCTTCTTGATAACAAGCACTAGTGTCTCGCCAAACATACATGGAGAGCATTAGGGAGTTCAAATTTGTTGAAATGTTGAATGATAATTTATACTAAAAATGTTTTTCCTTTACCTGGGTTTTGCTACAGTAACCTGACCTGGAAATGTTTAAGTCTCATCCACCTATAAAATATAGAAGGGAAAAAATGCCTCAACCCATAAGAGGGGTGTATCAAAAAACAAAAAAGGAAACTTACATGGCCAAATATGGTGATGTTGTCCATGGTTAGAGTTTTTTTTTTATTATTTATTATTATTATTTATTTATTTATTTATTTTTTTAACCGAAGCAACCAGGTGCAACAATGTTCATCCAACCCCTGTATAGTCCCTACAATTACAAACCTTTCCCTCTGGGATCATATTGTGGCAATGTTGTATTAGGAAAAATAGATGATTTCTCACAAATAAGTCAATTGAAAGAACATAAAACCAATGCAAAAAATTAAATCAATAACGACACAAGAATTTTTACGTGGTTCTCTTAATGAGATGTACGTCCACGAGACTGGAATCTGATTCCACTATTAACCATGAGTTTTCAAACAATTATAAACGAGACACACACTACAGGAAATATCTATTTTGGAGGCGTTTTTTTAATGGCGTTTTTGAAAACGTCACTGTTTCTAATATTTAACGACGTTTTGTAAACGTCGCCTTTTCGTTTAACCCAAAACGGTACCGTTTCATAAATAGAAGATGCTTTCAAATGGTGTCGTCCCACGCGCTCCTTATCTCCTTCTTTTTCACCTTTATTTTGAATCTGATAAGCGAAAATGAAAATCTCTCTCTCTCTCTCTGTGCACTGTCTAAGATCTTTCAAAATCGAAGTCAGAGCCATTTCAAAGATCTCACCTCGGTGATTCATCAGAGCCATTTCGAAGTTCTCTCACAATCGATTCAGATCGGTGAGCTCTACTGCTGTCTAGACCCTAATGATCTCAGAGATTCAGATCGGTGAATCGATTCAGATCGGTGAGCTTTACTGCTGTCTAAACCCTAATTATCTCAGGGATTCAGCTCGATGATTCAGAGATTCAGCTCGGTCTTAGCGAAACAGATTGGTGATTCATCAGAGCCATTTCAAAGTTCTCTCTCGAAATCGAAATCGAAGTTCATCTCAGCGATTTAGATCGGTGAGCTCCACTGTCTCTCTGTATCTGTCTCTCTGTCTCTCTCTCTCTCTCTCTCTCTCTCAAGCTGAACTAATGGTGCAATGTCGATTTGGTTATTGAAATCAATCCTGTGAAATTCTATGAATGGTTTTGATATTTGAATGTTGATGTCCTGTTGTTTCTTCTCACTGAACGTGTTGATTGTTTGTTGGTTCATATTTTGTTTCTGAAAATATTTCATTTTATGCTGCTTTTGAATGGTTTTGATATCCTTTATGCTTGTTCAGCATGGCTATTATTCTCTAGTTGGGACTGGATTGTTTGTGGCTTCATTTACATTGCTCTGTTCTGATAAATCTTTTTTTTTTTTATAAAATAATAAGATTATAAAACACTTGAATTATTTATATTGCAATATTTTGGGTGTCATCAGTTTTAAGTTTTAACCAGTTTAGATCTGTGACAGTTTCTAATTGTTATTTCTCTTCACTGATCGGGCTAAAGCAGAACTAGGGAGGTGGATAGTGAAGAACTGTTGAAGCAGTTGCCTGCTTTGCAGCAGCTGCTATATTGTCTCATTGAATGCCGGGTACTCTTCTGAAACCTCAAGATTCAGATGAATATATTTAAGTTTCTATTTTTTAGATGATCTCTATCTAGGGATTTAGACTGTAGTAAAACATGTGAATGAAATAAATGTTGCATTTTACTTTACAGCCTGAAGGAGTAGCAGTTAGCAATTACATTTTCCAAAAAAAGTCGTCCACAGAAAATCTCCTCCATGCACAGCAAAATGTTTATATTAGTTCTCACAAAGAGAGTAGAGAAATGAAGGTTATGTTCTATTGGGTAAATCTATAAAAAGAACAAAGAAAGAGTAGATGGTAATTTTTTTTGAGAATGTTACTTCTTAGTTTGATTCTCAATGTTGAATTAAATATAAACTATAAGGACCATAAGGTAATGGAAAGAAGAATAATAACATTCAATTTTATATGTATATGGACAAAATATTTGCTGCTTTAAATTTTGGATTACTTTGTCCTTTTTCTTTCACTTTGTTGAGAAAAGACCATACTTTGAACATTTCACTTGTTTGAAATTTGAAACCATGTCTGTGTTGTTACCATGTGTACATGAAAGGTGATGTCTTGAACTTGAATCTAATCATTCAGCTGCTAAGTCAAAAGAAGATATATGAATCCCAATAGAATGAATTAGTCATGGAACCCATAACATTTCTAGTTACTTAGATGGTACATACATTTCAAGAATCTTGTAACTGAATCACCAATGTCAACAAATAGATGGCTTTATTTGCATCATCATTAGATACAATAAAGTACAGTCACTACAAATATTCAGGTGTGCACAAAACAAAACAAATTTATTTAGAACCAACATTGCTTATTTGCTTCAGAGTGCATCGGTACAATTTTATTTATGTGAAATTTTTTGATAATATCTCAAATGAATTTCATATTTAATAGAAATTAAGCAAGAAGAGTAGAAAAATCCAGAAGAAGAAGACACTACATCATAAAACAGGCCGAAAGCCTTTCTCAGTAGTTCGAGTGGAGGTATAATTAGACATTACATCTTGAACATATTTTGAAATTTGTTAAGTTTAGCTAGCTCAAATCAGCCATGTTTTTATTTTTTGATAAATCCCTCTTCTTGGTCATTAGTGGCCTTTTTTTTTTAATTTTATTTTGTTATTTCTAATTTCATTCTCAAAGGAAGCTGTGAATCCTGTACAAGGGTGATTAGGTGAGCTTGATATGGCAGAGAGAATCAAGCACGTAGATCGTTGTTTTCTCAAGTGCTATTGTGACCTTGTTTCTTGCTCAAAATTTAAGACCATTTGACCATCCCTCTTGGATGATGCAGTTTTAGAGAGGATCTTTTGATCATGCAGAAAATTTTGTCGAACGAGTCCTTTTCTTTTAATAGGCATTTCAGTGACCTTTCTTCAACAGTTGTTTCATAGAAGGCCTTATTAGGTAATGGAAACACAAACTTAATGCATTTACATAACAGACGGACCAGTTTTTCAGAAGTTCATTCCATCGTTTTTCCTTTAAAATGTTTCCTTAAATTTCACTTGATTCCCTGTTGAATACACTTCATTTTCTATCATTTGTGAAAAAATCATGATTTGTGCATACAACAATGTAGAGTTCTGCATTCTGGCTTAATCTGATCAGGACATTGAGATGAGTTCTATGCATGAAATATGTCCAGAAAACTGGTGGAATAACCATTTGAGTTCTATGCATACAATGAACCATTTCTCATTTTATGTGTGAAGCTATTATTTTAGGGTGCTAAATGTTGGTCAACTTATGGTTACTTTCTAATTCATTTCTGTGTAATTTGTTAAGCAGGTTCATTAACTTAAAGGAGTACATAACAGGTTCCTTCACATATCGTTTATTGTCCATTTGTATATTTTCTATGCTGTTAATTTATGCCTAATCTTCGGGATATTATCATATTTTTACTTGCTGATTTTATGATCTTTGATCTCATAAATGTTTGGCCTATAAAGTGTAATTTTCTTGATGATAAAGGTTAGGACAGAATATTTGATAGCTGTTTTTAGAAAACCTCGGCAATTGATTATAGAGTGAGATTAGCATTTTACCTCTTAGGAGTGCATTAAACCTTCTTTATCTTATTATGGATGTTGTCTGGACATAATTTCTGTATCCTTTCCACATTATTAATTTGTTCTTGATGTAACTTGGCTGTTGATACTCATGATTGGCAAAATGCACTATTAATTAGTTATAATTGTTTTTTCTCCTAGGCGAAAGCAGTATTAATTTTAATCATTGATGTGATCAACAAGTGGGAAATAAGTTTCCAATATTCTAGTTGGTTGAATCATTTCAGTTTTATCAAGTATACATAATTACATTTTCTGGTCCAAGTCTTTGGCTGTTATTTTATAAAATGATGAACTCCAAGGCCTTTTTAAGCAGTGCATAAGTTTCAGTCTATTGAGGACAAGATACTAAAATTAATTTGTGATTTCTTCTTATTTGGCTGCTGAGAAATAAGTTGTAATTTGTGTGGTTCCACATTTCTTTCTTTTTCTTCTTTTTCATTTTTCATCCTAAGAGAATGCATAGGTAAAAATTTAAGCTGGTTCCAATAACTTAGCATTCTATTTATTAGCTAAGAATATGAGGTTACAGCTTCTTTATGGCTTGTTATATGTAGGTTTTTTGAGGAATCAAGTGAAGAGGAACGGGACCATGCTGAGAAGTTCATGAAGTATCAGGTGTTTGAAAAAAATACATCTATGATTCAAAATTTTCATTTTCAATTGATTTCTAATTGGAATAGTTTGTATGAATTTGAATCCCTAATATTTGTTGCTGCGATAAATGTCAGAAAAAACGAGGTGGGAAAGTGAAGCTGCAATCAATTCTGATGCCACTGTCTGAGTTTGACCATGATGAGAAGGGAGATGCATTGTATGGTAAGTTTTTGTTTTGGCTTTTCTTTATGCAATATGATGAGAATTGAACCTGCTTTATTACAGCTTTTATCAATTTAACGATATAGCCATACAGTTGTTTTCAAATATGCTCTTTTTGGCTTTTGATTATGATTTCTTTGGGTCATGAAGTACAATGAATTGGACTTCATGCGGTGGCTTTCATCATGTAGCGTCTTGAACATTTTATTTTATGGAAACAGTGGGACTTCCTTGGCATTTTGTATTTTAATTTATAATGATTTCCATCGTGATGTGCTCATGTAGTAATCACTTACATGTATCGGTTCTTCTTGTCTGCCTTTGAGTAGCATGTGTATTGCTGTTATTAATGGTAAATGACCAAGAACTAAGGGTTGTTTTGGGAAGTAGTTATTTTAATTGATTTTTTAGTTTTTTTATAAAAAGACGTGCAAAGAAGTAGAGAGAAAAGTTGACTTTTGGGCAGTGACCTTTTAGCTATTTTAGTATGTTCCCAAACTTGCCGAGTGCTTGTAAAATTGCCTTTGTTTTGTGGTTTTGCTGTTCACGGCATGTCAATTTGTGTACTCATACTCATGAACCCTTTATTTTAAAAAAAGTGATTGAAACCTCTATATCTTAAGCGATTGATACTGATTGTGGCAAATTTGTTGATGTAGCAATGGAGCTTGCACTGTCTTTGGAGAAGTTGACAAATGAAAAACTTCTGAACTTGCACGCTGTAAGACATTCCTTTTGTGTCTTGTTTACTTGGCCCTAGTTCTTGTTATAGTTTTCATTCGTTTTTAGGCAGTTCTATATGACCAATGGAGAAAATGTCCCAGGAAGTTGTATTACATTTTGTGACTCCAAGGATCGAAAAGTTGATCTATGTAATCCAGTGTGTTTGAAATTGCTTACTGTTGTTATTCTAGTGTGAAGTTGAGGTATTGGTTATTTACGATATTAACTGTGACAACAGGTAGCAAGCCAGAACAATGATGCGCAGTTGACTGATTTTGTCGAAAGTGAATTTTTAACTGAGCAGGTGAAACACAAATACATTTGTTCCTATTCATCTGAAATTTCCTTATTTCCTTTTAGAAGATAATTGTGTCACTCATGTAGCATGATATACTGATTTCTGTGTTCAATCTTTTTCTTATTATTATTATTAGGTGGAAGCCATTAAGAAGATGTCAGAATACGTTGCTCAGTTGCTGTTTTTTGTGATAGAGGATCACATTCATTTAAGTCCGTATCTTTCTTATATCAGTGGAGCATTAGCGGGATGTGCAGCAACGGTTGGATCATATCCATTTGATCTTCTACGAACCAGTTTAGCTTCGTAGGTGGGCAGTCGTCATTAGCTGACTATTGCACTTATTATGTAGCTTATTCTGATGGATCATGCAATCATGCATAGACATGAACAGTGCGCGAGCACCTGACAGAATGTTGGGTGAGGTGAGAGGACATAGCTCAAGGTGAGATATGCTTATGGAACTTTTTTCAAATTCTCACATTTGAATTCTGCATTGGCATAACTTCTGTTCATTCTTGTAGGTGTATGGCCTCATCATTAGTACGGACTGGGTTTGTAAGGGGTTCCATGACCCAAGGAAATGGTTGTTATCAGCACAGGTGTATAAATAATTCGCTGGAGGTATAATTTGGACCTTTAACTTTAGTCTTTAATACAAGGATTCTTATTGTTCTTTTTTTTTCTTTTTTTTTTCTCTCAATGAAATTGGGCAATTGCATCTCCACTTTTGTCCAATCAACCCTAATGACACCTGCATATTTTGGGAAATTGGGTATTGGATTCTATACCCATCTTCCCCAATTACGGGTTAGTGTTTTGATTCAAATAGGACCACTGCATATTTTGTCCATTTCACAATGTGGAGCTAGTATGTTTTTTTGTCTTCATCAGGACAATATACCATCTGGCAAAGTCACCTGCATATTGGCTCTCCGTCTTGGTTATAATAGTCTTAGCATTACTCCCTCGCTTTATTTGGAAAGTTATACATTAAAATTTTTGGCCTTCAGATATCCAGATAGCTAGAGAAGCTGAGATACTGAGAAAAGAACCTAATTATTTTGGGTCTAAGCCAGATCCAGGTTCCAGTTAATATGTATATTATTAACTGATCCAATTTGCTATGACCTGGCCAGAGTTTGTCCAGCCAAATGTGAAATTTAATGGTAAGTTCAGTTTCATTTATACATCTATTCCTTTTCTGTTTCATTCAGGGTACCTTCCTTGCTCTCTGTCTCTGTGGTTGGAGAAAAATAATTCTCACCTATGGGCATGAGCTTTCTCGAACAGTAACTAGCCATATGTTAAACCCCATGGTCAACCCATTTTCTCACTTTCATCATCATCATCTTTCTCTTTAATTGAATTCTGCACTTGTGTGTACATATCATGTTAAATATGTAAATGTCTAATTAGTATACCTTGTTAAAAGAAATATGTACTTGTGTATACATATATATATATATTAGCATTTGGGCCCATGCAATGCGTAGCAATTCGTTTTGGTCCTCTTTTTTTTTGTTGTAAAATTCATAATATGAATTTCTATTTCTGTTTAAATAGAGATATGGTTGAGGGTAGGCAGTTGAAACTGTCATGATTTTTCTCTGAACTTCGGTGGCGACTTGATATTTACATGTTTATCCCTTTTATGATGAAAAGCAGAGACATATGGCATGGTTTTTCTGGACAAAGAGGTAGCGTGACGGACCTTAAAATATGTGTTCACATTATATTATATAATAATATAAATAGTATAGATGTATGTATTGTAAGTTCAAGGAAACTTATACCATGAGAAATAACACACAGATTTCATGATAAAATGGGCAGTTCAGAGATCAGTCCTTATGTAATAGATATGCCTCCTGCTTCCTCCGTAGTGTGGAAGCAATCACATTTAGCTGGACCCATTTTAATGATTTTTATTTTGCCCTGCAGTTCATATGAAAGTGACACAAGCTGACATCATTCCAATTGGATTTAGCATTTAAAATGACACAAAGGGAAGAGAGGGAAGTGCAGATCCGAGGGGGAATGCAGAGCCGAAGGGAGGGTGAGGGTTTGGTTGATACTAATGATAAGATGGTCTGGTCGGGGAGTCTTCCTACCACATCATGTAGCGGTAATACATCACATGGCTCAGTTTCAGCTGGTACGTATAAGTTTTTGACTTTTTAGTAGTATTTGTATAGTATAATTCAATTGAAATCAAATAGACATGACTATCACAGTTTATTTGTTTGATCAATTACAGAGAATTTTATTGTTGGCCTCAGTTTACAATGATTAATCATTAAACATGATTTTATATTATTTTTGGTGATTGATCTCCTTGTGCCATTGTGCGATGTGTTCATTGTTTTGTTCAATTACGAAGGAATCTTATCATGACAAATTGACAGCTTGTCTCAAACCACCCCCACTCCCTCTCTTACTTTTGCAACTGCTTGTCTCTTACTACATCAGCATAATTTGCCAATGCCTGAACTCTCCTCTAAAACCTCTTGATATGCTGCCACTCCTATAACATCAAAAGGATTTGACCCCCATCAAATGCATAGAAATATTACAGAAACTAGTGGGGTGGCACTCATTACATGAGTGCAAGTGCCACAAAGAACCACTAAATCAGCCAATTTTTGAACAATAGTGCATAGAGAGAGAGAAAGAGGTGTACTAAGTAGCCTCTTAATTAGGAAAGAGAATTTTTAAAACTAACTGGGAGTTCTAGGCAGTTGTGGGGAGTTCTTTAGAATAATGTGTTTACTTGAACATTTACCCTCAAATGAATATAGAAGTAAAAGGATTTTAATAATGCATAATTTAATTTTCTTTGAATAGTTTAGGGAAATGAAAAATATACACAAAATTAGTGTTCTACTTTTATATATTAGCAAAGATGACATGCTTGACAACTGAAGTAAAAACGAAACTAAAGCTATTAAAAATACACATGATGATAATATATATGCATCAATTATGAAGTGCACAATGCTCTAATGGAGATGCCATTAAAGTTGTTGCATGTTGACATTGCTAATATTGGTGCCAAATTTAGTACAAGTCTTGGCAGATTGTTAGATTTTGGAATTGCTATCAACGGTTAGATGCATTTTCTATTATTTATGATTACTGATATCAACTTCTCTCTCTCTCTCTCTCTCTCCCCCCCAAATTGTATTCATGTTTTTAAGTTCAGGGAACAACAGCGATAAATGGAAAAAGTGCGTTGGAGACAATGATGGAGAGGCTGGATTACAAGTTAACAAAACTCAGATTCCGAATATAATTGCAGAGACGCAATGCATAGAGAGGGGCATCCAATTGTGGTGAACTAGGTTGATATGGTAGGAAAATGATTTGTGTGTGAATGTGGTTATTGTGAATGAGAATATGAATATCAAGTTGGCTCAAATGTCCATATTTGTATTTTGGTGAACTCAGATTCCTATTTTGGCTCAAATAGAGGGACATCCAATTTTGGTGACTCCTTAATGTAATTCAAATGATTTGTGTGTGAATGTTTTTGTTTTTTTTTTTGGTGACTCCTTAATGTAATTCATTTGATAAGATTTTACTATGTGAATGGGAGTTATTATTTCATATTAATGTTATTTTTCAGTTTTATTATAGGTTTTTTTTGGGTTCAATAACCTAAAATTAGCACAATTAAAAAAAGAAAAAAAAGGGGCTATCACGGCATTTCTAAAAACGTCGTTAAATAGCATCAGATATATGACGGCGTTTTAAAAGCGTCGCTAAATAGCATGATGACGTCATGTTACCGTTGGTAGAACTTTTAGCGGCGTTTTTATAAAACGCCGCCTATTGTCATATAGCGACGTTTATAAAGCGCCACAGAGTTATAGCGACGGCCGCATCTTCGACGTTTGGTGCTAAACGCCACAAAAATATTTAACGGCGTTTTTAAGACCTATTGCGGCGTTTTTTAAACGCCCCTAAAACCAGAATTTCCAGCAGTGACAAATGGTCTCGCAAATCACCCTTAAGTGAATTCTAAATAATCACAAAATAAATAAGAGAAAGGATCTCACCAAATAAACGAACAAATTTCGAAACAGAATATAGAATACTACAAATTTAAATCAAGCTAGCACCTTCAAAGCAGAGTCGAAATTGTCAAAACGCCCAAAGAAAGCGAAGCAAACCAAAATACACACAGGCACTATACCAACGAACCCACCAATTGAACTTTCACACCAAACAATATGTTGCACACAAAGCCAAAGCCAAACCCACCGAAAGAATCACCAAGTACACACCACCGAAAGATGTATATAGCTGTTGCACCATACAAACTAAACAACACAAAATAAATATTATTGACTCTTGAGTTTTTTATTAAAACCTTAACTGTTACCAAACAGATTATTAAATACTCATTGGATTTCCAAAAGTCATATATAATATATAAAATATATTATAATCAACATCAAACTAAATTAAAATTCTTTTAATAAATCAATTGGGTTACATACTATACTAAGGAGGTATACCTAACAATTCGCCCCCTACCGACTTTGGTGGAACTATCAACCATACCCGCCAAAGTTTGACATTTCAAATGTTTGTTCCTCGACAAAGTTTTAGTCAACATATCCGAAATATTATCATCCGTGTGAACCTTTTCGAGTTGTAATAATTTCGAATCTAACACGTCATAAATCCATTGGTATCTTACATCAATGAGTTTCGATCTCGAATGAAAAGTGAAATTTTTACTCAAATAAATAGTATTTTAACTATCACAACAAAGCACATACCTTTCTTGCTTCAAACCCAACTTTTACAAAAATTTTGTCAACCATAACTCTTTTTTACAAGCTTCTATAATGGTGATAAATTCAACTTCGATAGTTGAGAGCAACACATTTTTGTAATTTAGATTTGCATGTCACAACTCCCCCTACAAATGTCATCAAATACCTTGAAGTAGATTTCCTAGAATCAACATCACTGGTCATGTCGGAATCCATGAACCCATCAAGCATTGGCTTACCATTCCCAAAATACAAACACACCCTCAAAGTCCCTCAAAGATATCTTAGAATCCCAAAATACAAACACACCTTCAAAGTCCCTCAAAGATATCTTAGAATCCATTTCACCACTGCCTAATGTTCTTTATCAGGATTAAAGAGAAACTGACTCACTACACTAACGATGTGAGCAATATCTGACATGTACAAACCATGGTGTATATATCAAAGAACCAACCGCTGAAGTATAAGGAATTTTCAACATCTCTTCCTTGTCTCACTTGTAGGACATTGACTTGAACTAAACTTGAAATGATCCACAATTGGACAACCAACTGGCTTTGCTTTATCAATGTTGAACCTCTCAATAACTTTCTCAATATAGCTTTCTTGAGACAACCAAATCAGCCGCTTTTTGCGACCATGAACAATTTTTATACAAAGTATTTGCTTTGCTGGCCCCAAATCTTTTATAGCAAAAGACTTGTTCAACTTTAACTTCAACTTGTTAATCATGGTAGAATATTGACCTACAATTAACATGTCATCAACATAAAGCAAAAGAATAATATATTTGTCATTTGGAAATTTTTTCACAAACACACAATGGTTCGAAGTAGTTTTAGAAAAACCATTATGCATCATGAAAGAATCAAATTTTTTGTACCATTGCTGCGGTGCTTGCTTGAGGCTATACAAACTTTTCTTCAATTTGCAAATAAATTCTCTTTCCTTTTCTCTACAAAACCCTTTAGTTGCTCCATGTAAATTTTTTCTTCGAGGTCGTCATGAAGAAATGCGGTCTTCACATCAAGTTGCTCAACTTTAAGATTCATACTTACGACCATGCCAAGTACAACTCGAATTGAAGACATCTTCACAACCGGCGAGAAAATCTCATCAAAGTCAACACCTTTCTTTTGCCCAAAGCATTTAACAACAAGACGTGCCTTGTACCTTAGATTACTGCTATCATTCTTAAATTTAAAGATCCACTTATTTTTCAAAATTTTCCTCCTCTTAGGCAACTTCACCAAATCATAAGCGTGAATTTTAGGTAATGAATTCATTTCCTTTTCCATGGCCTTTTTCCAATCAGCTTTCTTTGCATGCTCAATTGCTTCTTAGTAGCTCTCGGGCTCCCCTTGATAGGATATCAACATAAATTTATTGGGAAGATATTTTTTTAAAGGTTGCCGATCCTTTATAGATTTTCTCAACTTACGTTGTGGTGGCGGTTCTTAAGTTGGATGCTCTTCCTTAATTTCGAGCTCAACTTCATTTGAGTAGCATCATTATCTACATCTTCAAGTGGTGGCTGCACATCTCCTCCATTTTCATCATCCACCGAAGATGAAGGAGATGGATCCATGTCAATAAGATCATTAGTTTTTTGCTCCAGTTGATCACCTTTGCTAAAGTTTTCAATTGTTTGGTCTTCAAGAAACACAACATCATGGCTTTGAATAACTTTCTTGTTGATCGGAACCCACAATCTATAACTAAACTCATCACGTCCATAGCCCGGAAAAATGCTTTGTCTTGACTTACTATCAAGCTTGGACCTTTCATTCTTCGAAATGTGAGCAAATGCCCGACAACCAAACACTCTCAAGTGCTCATAAAGCACATCTTTGCTGGTTTAAACTCTTTCAAGAACATTACCATTCAAAGGATAGGAAGGAGATAAATTGATCAAATTAACCACTTTCCTCACTGCCTCACCCCAAAAAAATATTGGGAATTTAACATGTGAAAGCAAACACCTTATTCTTTTCACAATAGTGCAGTTCATCCTCTTAGCAACACCATTTTGTTGAGGAGTCTTCTTAACTATCTTTTGATGTCGAAAATCTTGGCTGCTACAATACTCATCAAATAGCCCAATGTATTCATTACTATTTTCTGTTCAGATGCACTTCAATTTTAGCCCCATTTCTCTTTCAACCATGGCCTGAAAATACTTAAACACATCTAGAACTTGATCTTTAATTTTTAGTGCAAAACCTTAAACTTTCTTTGAATAATCATCAATGAAAGTAACAAAATAAAGTGCACCACTATGTGTTCTAACTTTCAAAGGACCACAAACATCTGAATGAATGAATGGTATCAGAGCTGACTCTCCGGAGTACCAAGTGTGGGCCCCTAGCGTCTCTCGGTGTATGTAGGCGGGCTTGCGAGCTAGCAGGCTACTGTATGGGGACGTGCAGCCTTAAGAGAGGTGGATTGTAAGGTCCTCGTGTGCCACATCGGGAATGGAGGGGGAGTTCTTAGGCTATAAAAGTAAAAACTTGGATCCTTATATAGCATCGAGGCCTTTTCCTGGGTGGTGAAATCCTTAGCAGAACTCCCTAGTCAATCATACTTAGGCTAGAGTAGTTTTGGGATGGATGACCTACTGGGAAGAACAAATCCGTGTGAGCATGACCTAAAGCGGACAATATCGATGACAAATGAAGGGTTGAGGCGTTACAAAAGCAACATTTTTATGAAAAAAAAAAACTTTATGTAACAACTAACCAAGTAATGAACACAAATTTTAAGATGCGTAACTTTCAAAATTGGTAGCCTTCATTATCTAACTTCCTGGTAGAGATCAAATTGAGGCGAATGTCGGGAATATGCATCACATCTTTAAGTAACAACTTGCCACCCAAATTTGTTTCCAAGAAGACATCACCCATGCCAACAATCTTGGACAAACCTTCATTATCCATTTGAATACAACCATAATCTCCTTTAGTGTAGGAAGTAAAGAAATTAACCCGAGAAGTTACATGAAAAGAAGCATGAGAATCAATCACCCAATTGCTCTCTTGGTCCAAAAAATTGACACAATCATCTTCGCAAACAATCATGAGATCACTATTGGCAGTAACCGCCGTTGTGTCTTCTTGTTTCTTATCCACACTTTTGTCATGCCTTTTCTCATTTTTCTTAGCTTTTGGCATATGATCCCCTGCTTCATTTGCCCTTTCTCATGGCAATAATGGCACTCAACGTCTTTCTTTAAAAAAGAAAAATCTCTTGATTTATTACGGCTTTGATCACGACCATGAGGAGTCTTACTCCTTCCCCTTGTTTTGCTTCAGTCTCTCATAACAAATGTCTCCGAATAAGAAGAACCCGCTAATTTTCTTATAGTTTCTTCATTCAACAAGCTACTAGTGACTTAGCTCATTGTGACAACTCCATTGGGTTCCGAATTACTAACCGTCATAATCAAAGTCTCCCAACTTTTGGGCAAGGAACTAAGTAGCATCAAAGCCTACAACTCATCATCAAAAACAATTTTCCTAAAAACAAGTTGGTTAACAATACTCTTCATTTCATTGGAATATTCTGGAATAAGGTTGCCCTCTTTATATTTTAAATTAACCAACTTTCGAAATAGAAAAGCTTTATTTGTGACAATTTTCTTTTATATCATAAAGACCGTCTAATTTTTTCCATAAATCATGTGCCGAAATTTCAGTAGCAACATGATGAAACACATTGTCATCAATCCATTGACGGATAACACCAATCGCTTTTCGATTAAGCCTCTTCCATTCATCATCTTTCATACCCTCGGGTTTGCCATTATCACTCTCAATAGGCCCATACAAATTTTTACAAAATAATAGGTCCTGCATTTTCGTTTTTTAAGTTACCCAATTGCTTCTATTGAAGCTAAACATATAACCT